ACAGAACTGAGGTGTTGATACTCCTAGGATTATGTATGTGCTTTTTGGAGAAATTTTCTTAATTCTGAGGAATAAGCAATCTTGAATGTATTGTATATGTAGCATTTGATGTTTAGTTTTCTTCAATACTGGGAGTTTCTTTAGGTCATCCATTTCTGACACGCTTGTGGTGGGTAGCTGAGAACTGGCTGGAATATGAGCTTGACTGTGCTACTGGGTATAGCTGCTGCTTCTGTGCTCCCAACCTCCCAAATGCATGTGTAGAGGCTGGTCATTAATATCAGGCAACAGATGGTTATTTGATAAAATATAGGCACAATTCGAGGTTACTGAACTTCTAGTGCCAACAACAGGTAACATTAAGCAGGGAAGATGTTTCACCACAGCCACTCTCTGTGCTACCTTTGGTTTTGTTTTCTGCATAAGTTTACACCTATCAGGTAAGATTTCTTTCAGATTACTCAGTACTGACTTTAATGTTTTCACTTAAGCAAATAGCTTTACTGCTCTTTCTTAATTGTGGTGCTTTTCTACCCTGGGTTTCCCAGCCTTGACAGCTAGAGCAGGTGCCCTTAAAATCTGCCATGGCATCTGCACCGAGTCCTTCTGCGATTTGGTGGTTGTGAGAAGTACACCTTCCTGGGTGTACTGGCTTTGAGGTTGTTGTGTGGGTTTTTTTATCTTCCTTGTGGGTTTTTGCCTTTATCTTCTTCCTGTCTTGTGTGCTTCTGGCAAATCACCCAGCATTATTAAATTCCTTTCCTCATTCGAGTGGACTGAATGATAACAGTGTGGTATGACAAACATATTTCCATGATTATTTTTGACCTATTTAACTTAACCTTTTTTTCACTAATAGTCTCAGCATTCACAAATAAAGCAAAGTTTTTAGATAGTAATGAGCATCTTCAAGATGCCAGCTGCCACCTGCTTCATATAGTTATTCGTATTCATCCTTTCCAAGACCCGTCTTACTCTTTTTCATCCATGACTGGATGTTGTACACTGTTTTATTCTCTTTCATTTTGGAGATAGGTAGAATAGATTGGGAAAAGATCCTTAACTGTCTTGATTGTAGCATTTTCAGAGTGTTTGTCTTCTCTGTTTTGGGGGGGATTTTATCATAGTTTTTAGGATAGAATGTTTACAACTCATTGATCATCATCTTGGGACTTAGAAACAATAAGTAGTCTAACATAAAATAATTTACTTTTTCTAAAAATGTTTGGTTTATTACCTACCCTTACTTCATTTTATGCATGGGGGAGTACTGCTGAACTCCATATTGCACACCGCAATTTGTTCCTAAATAGTCGTATCTTTCACACAGCATCGCATGAAACAATTCGAAGAGTAAGTATCCAATTCAAATGGATATAACAACTCATTCTTAGCATTTTCCCAGTTTTAGAGTAAGAGGATTTACCCATGCGTATCTAAACCAAGTACACAAATGCTCTTTTTCAGCACCTGATAAAAGGATGAGTTCTCTTTTGGTTTTGAAGATAATGATCCTACCAAAGGAAAGCAGTTTATCAAATATGGGTGGTTGGGGTATTTTGCTTTTTTAAAAATCTGGAATATGTAAAATGAGGATTATGTCATGTTGTAAGCATTTCTAAAATAGAAAGAAGAATAGAAAATTTAATCTATTCATTTCTTGAGGTGTTAGGATTGTTGTGACTAAAACAGGGCTTCATACAAAATAAATTGACTGTTAATTTCTCATTGGATCATTGAGAGGGTAGAACTCTTTGGATTCAATAGGATTCTTTAACACTGTTTTAAAGGTATATTTTTTGTAATATTTTATTTTATGCTTTAAGTTAGTGGCCCAATTAGTTGAGCCTCAGTGTATTAAATAAAACCAACTGTCTGCTGTGAGCTAGTGTTGCTGTACTGTGTTTGAGCTGTTCTTAAGTAGTGTAAAATATTTTGATTTTTATAACTAATTTTACTGAAGCATTCAAGTGTAGAAGAAAGGAAAGGGTAGGAGTAATTTTTAAAACTGTCTGTATAATTTAATGTTTGACTGTTAGTTTCTGGTCTGGACTGCCAAAGCGCTTTGACTTTGTCCTAAACTCTTCCAGTGGGTTAGTAACTTTGTTTGGGAGGGGAGGAGCCACGTGTAATTTTACTCAAGAAGAGATTTTATTCTGTTTTTTCTTTATTTTGAATGAAGTTAGATCTGAGATTAGCTGTGCAGACCTCCAGCTGCTAGGCTATATGTGATGTTACCAGGACGTGATACCTTATTTTGGTAGACATGTGCAATGTTTTTACCCACGGTTCCCAAAAGGGTAAAAATAAAGGTCAGAGATTTGTGGTAAGAGGTACGCTTCAAAGTTACAGCGTGTGCAACTACCCTAAGGTTGGACAGTAACAAGAGGCTTAGGTCATACTTATTTTCAGGCAAGTGCAACAGGAATACTTCTAATACATCGAGCTTTGACATATCCTTCATGTGGAAGATGCGTAATGAAAGCACATGTAACTCTTTGTTGTATTATACCCAGCTGCTTTTTCATTATGTAATGACTTCCTGTGTGTACTCTCAATGTATGAATGTATTTAATAGCTGTGGCATTGGGGCTTACTTTTAACATTTGGAGCAAAGAACATGGTTTGCAGAGTGTTTGGGGCAGCAGGGAGTCAAGTCTCGTTCTCACATAATTAAAAAATGAGCCATGCTTTTTTAGGACCTTTTATTCAGCCTGCTCTTGTTGAGCTCAAATGTTGCCTGGGAAAGACCGGTGAGCAGCTCTCGAAAATGCAGTCTGCATCCATAAATTAACTAAGAACATCCAAGGGCAGTTGCTAAATGCATTAATAATTGTGCAAACATGTAGTTTTGTTGTTTACAGAGCGGTGGATAGCACCCTGGAGGAGCAGCAAGAATGATGTGAAGAGAAGCAGCACATGAATGTAAATGGGCAGGGATCTCATTTCCACACAGGCATACTCTACAAGGAAGTGGTTTGATACTTCATTAGGTTATATCTTTCCGTATTGATTTTGCCTCAGGAAAATTTTGCGTAGCTTCTCTCATACGAGTGGTGAAAGTTCTGATTTTTGGTTTGCTTGAGGGTAAGTGGGAGAGACATTGGGTCCAAAGGAGTTAGATAAGAGGTTTCCCCAGAAAGCAGCCTAGAAATAACCTTTCAAGTCATAAGACTTTTGAGACTAATAATTATTGCACCAAGGTGTATTTATTAACATGCCTGTAGGTACAAATTAAAATAAAGCTGGGATCTACAAAATGAAGTAGATTTAGTGTGAACTTAAGGAAGTACGCTGGTTAGTACCCTCTCCTCGTTGTAAAATATAAAATTGCATCCGATAGTGGAAAAACTTCTCACTTGATTTCGTCCTACTTTTTAAATACGTTGATCACACAGGAGAAAACTTGTATATATATATTTTGCATTTCAGCCTGTAGTCACCATTTGAATTTTCTTATGAAATAGTTTTCCAGGTCTTTAGATAATAAAAACCCGATTTCAGAAGAAACTGTATGATGTGCAAGATTTTCTGTTCCTACATTTCAGTACTTGGTATGAAATCTGATGGTTGACTGTTCCAGAACTGGTTTATAACTTTGGCTGACCTGTGTAAATATGTTGTTTATACAGCACCGTTGACAAGTTACGGACTTAGAACTTCGGTAACTTGAAAATTATAAAAAAAAAAAAAAAAGACAGGAACCTTGGCTTTTTTCTTTTTAATGATTTTAACTGGACTGTTGAGATGCAAAGTCAGACAAAATATTCAGATACAGCTGTATAAGGGTAAGTGCTTTCCTAAAACAGCTGTGTTCAGGAACCTAGTAAAATTCCCCATATCCTACATGTCCAGAACAACTGGTGCTAAAGTTTGTGTAGAGATGCCCAAAATTAGAACTCTTGCCTTTGGCAATGAATTCATACTTAAGTTACCAAAACTGAAGTGAAAGAGAAACTTTTCCATCTTGTAGTGCTCCTTTTATTTTAATTTTTAAACACTCATGTAATATTCCTTTGTCGTCTTTTCTTTGTGCTTTATCTGAACACTGTGTAGGGATTTTAGAGGTTCCAGTGTCCTCGATGGTGTCCCAAGATCTTCATAACATTCTAAAATCATAATGTGTGAGACTGATTATCCTCATACTTAGTCTTCACCAGAATTTATTGCTATACATGTGTGAGAGAAATGCCCTTGGTCATTCTTAAATTATGTATATATTAAGAAAAAAACCCTTGAAAACACATCTTGTAGTGTTTTTCCATCACTGCCCATGTTGGACATTTAATAATACCTTAGACCTTTACTACCTATGCTTACAGTGTCTGAACTCAAGAGCCAAAGATCTTCAAGTTGGAAGTGACTCTATAATTTAAAAATAAGTATTAATTGGCAAGTTTACTCTTCAGAGTGGTGTAGTCTGTTATCACTGTGGTTACCTGAATATAATGCTTGGGTAGGTGCTGACTTATAAGAAAATACTTCAGTAGTTAAGTTAGGCTGCTCAGGGATCATATGAGATCACATAATAAAGCTGTTTATTGGCAGACTACATTTATTATCTGTATATTTTCATGACTGACCAGTATAATCATTCATTGTTTTCTGAAATGGTTTACAAGACTGATTCCTTTTAAGAAAATTAACAGAAGTGATTTAGCATCCCTTACATGATTTTAAAATATATTCCTGCATCTAATGAGGGGAAAGTCTCATCAGAATCACCACCATATGTTATAACTAGTAGTAAAAAAAAAAAAAAGGAAGTTTTCTCACAGCTGATGAATTATGAATGAAAACTGCAAAGACATCAGTTTATCTGTCAGATTAAATTCTCAAGTTCTTGGTTTTTACAGGTTTTCCTGATTAGGAAGGTGGGGTTAAGGTATTTGCAGACCTCTGCTCAGGTGCTTGCACTTATGCCAACAACGTGTTTCTATGGAAGGAGCACCCTCCATGATGCATATTGGTGTAGCCTGAATGTCACCTTCTCTTTGCAGGCAGAACTGGTCGATATACAGTATGGGACCGTGGACGACTTGATCCGGATTCAAGCCATTACAAACGTGACCAAAAAAATTGCACTTTTGAAGCTAGGACAATCACCTTTGCTTTACAAGGTTAGTCAAACGCTGCTTGTGCTTCAGCTGAATTACTACTTTGATTTTTTTCAGTTTCAAAATACCAAAACAAGGACTTTCCCATTCTCTCCCAGTAAGTCAGGACTTAGTGGCATTCAGAGTCTTCCTCGATACTAGCTGCTTTGATCTGTGGTGCCTTTTATGGGTTACAGTTATGTATTTTGCTGCATATGTTACAGCGACCCAGCGCTGTGCCATATTTTCTCTGGGCGTTCTATAATCCTTTTGGCAAATAAAGAAATAAAGCATGAGTTGGGGTGGAAATAAAAGGCGACTGAGATCAGGAATACTTGGATCTGTGTCTGCTCAAAATATACGTTTTTTACTTACAATGTAAAATCACTGGTTTTTACTGGTCTATGGATGGGTTAGCAACAGTTAAGGATGAGAGCCATGTTTTTTCTTCTGCTCCATCCTTCCTTCCTCTTTGGCTGCAACTATGAGTGAGGAGGATTATACGTGGGTATGTGTGTGTCTGTCCTTTCTCCTCCAACTCCAGAGCTGGCACAGAGTGTGGAGATGGAACTCACTAGTCCACCTGTACATTAGACCTAAGGGACTCAACATATAAACCACATTTAAGCTCTCAATGTCAAGTAAATGCCTTCTATTGCAAATATTTTATAAATAAAAATGCTGTTTTGCCTTTCAGAAAATACACTAGCCCAACAAATATTTAAACTATTCATTCCCAATTCACAAAAGCAATTACAATAAGAACAGTAACTCCAGATCTTATAATTAAAAGAATCAGGACCTCCTCTCTCGGCCATAGAAAGCACAGTCGGGACCACAACGCAGGTTCAGAAAATAACTGCTTAATATTTTTTCTATAGGGATAATATTTGTCTGAATAAAAATGCCATTTTAACTGAGTAGCTTTAGCTGTTGATTTAAATTATTTAGATGCAATCTTATTATGCCCGTGAAAGGTCAGTTATCATTGTTGGAACTTGGCTGCTGTGCATCATTTCCACCAATAGATCTTACAGTGCGTTTCACCGCTGACAAAAACAATGAAATAGCAACTGGGGCTCATAAAGTAGGAATTTGATGAAGATGCAAAGTTTGCTGTAGTATATACACTGTCTGAAGTGTCTACGAGATGGACTTTGTACAATTTAATTTGTGTTCTTGTAAGCACTTGCTATGTCTACATTTGCAAGTAGAGGAGCCTGAAGGAGTAGGGCAAAACAATTGGTTCTGAGGCCAGGGTACATCTCAGGAACTTTGAGTTTGGGTTGACTGTAGTCTGGTCCTGAGAAGTAGATCCTAATTGGTGACTGAGGTGTATTAGCCACACTTCTGGTGCTCGTCACTGTTCCAGAAGAATCCATTTTGCACATTCAGAGTCTGTAGGCAATATGAACCCGAGTGTGGTATGATCAGGAGATTGACTTTGAATGCATGCTCAGGGCCTGAGCTAAAAATACAACTCCCCAAACCTTCTCTTTCTCTTCTGCTCCTGCAGGTAGGAAGTTTGTCTTTTATTTGTGATTTCTTTTGTTTTTGAGATGGTAAACTGTCTTTCATTAGAATATAAATAGTGTCTCTCTGGCTGTGAAATAATTGTAAGATAGTATAGGAAAATATGTACAGAGGTATCAGATATAGGGTATTCTTTCATAAGGAATATTTGAAGTGAAAGAGAAAGATTGCCTTAAAAGCAAGTCCTGCTGTTTTAAATGGGTCCAGTACCTCATCACTGAATCCACTTTTCATAACTTCTTCCCCCTAATGTTTATGTTTCTGTACTTATTGAGTCTCACATTTCTGTTTCAGCAGACACTTCCCTCTGCGTATATTTTTCTTATCTCTGTCTTCCATGTGCTTGGTTTTACATCACATTAAAGGAGAATGTTAGTCCATAACAGAGCTGTTGCTATATATATACATTTACTGGTTTTCTTTCTAATTGCTGTATTTAACTTTTATTTTTCACATTTTTATGTTCCTTAGTTTCTTGTTATTATTACTTTATATTATACGTACATCTCGCTTGGGATTTGGGTGTTAATTTTACAGATCCTGAACCAAGGTTTCATCTTCATAGCAGAGTTTCTAACATGTCTCTATTTTTTCAGCTTTGAATTTTCCCCTCACATGGGCATGCTTTTTGTCTGTCTCTCTTTTACTGCTATCAACTGCTGTTTTTCATTTATTTTTCCTATTTTCTCCTTTTGTGTTTTTAATTTGCCTTTTTTTTTTTTAATCTCAAGTGTTCTTTCTCTCCATATTGAGTCCATTGGAAAAAGGCTGAAAGAAATAATAAACTGCTGCTGGCAGTAAACTCTCCACAAAAAGTGAACAACATTTCTTTATTCTTTACATCACATTAAGACAAAAGAGAATGTGTTGGTAGAAAACAGCTTGATGTACAAGGGGATAATTTATAAACCAAACCGAAGCGATGAAAATCTGAATATTTGGAAAAATAATTGTATTACTGACAATAATTTTGCTGTAGAGGTCTAGTTTGATATTTTATGGAGATTGGATAGGGTACAAACTTTGCGGGAGAATCAAGGTTGAAAATGTTTTGGAGCTTCTACTTTCAGTCTTTCCGACTGGGCCCATCTCCCCTATCTTCACGCACAGTGAGAACAACAGGCAGGGTTCAGAGCTTGGAGTAACTTGGAATTGGAATATACAGAGAATTTGGAGTATAAAGAAAAGCCTGAGGTTAATGTGCTGTTAAAATACGCAGTTGAATCCTTAACGTGAGTAGTTCTGATTAGATTTGGTAGGCTTCATAAATTTAAGTTGCTTTGTGAGGGCAAAATTAGTAGAAAACTGACCTTAAGTTATTTTTGTAATTGAATATGATTTTCAGATTTTATTTGCAATGTTGTATTTATGTTCCACCGAAGCAGAGCTTTGGTAACTGATCAGGGCAAGAGGGGCAGTGGTTATGCAGTGGGCACGTTTCCTAGGGCCGTACAGGCACATCTCAGTCCCCACAGCTGGACCTTTTCAAACAAAGAATATGTTACTACAGCCACATGAGAAGGTATACACGTGAAAAGAAAGAGCATGGACCTTACCTTTATAGCAGGGTAAAGTATCAAAAGAAGGGTTGCCTCTGGGGAAAAAACAGGTAGATCTTACATTGCTGTGATAAAAAAGAATAGAAAAATAAGGGAAGTATTAACGTTTCTATAAATCACAGTGGAGTGGAGGTTTACAGAGGGGTTTTACCGTTGGTATGGCACTAGTAAGATCAGTAAAGGAGCAAGAGTCTTGTCTATTATAAAAGGAATATTAAAAGTGGGAGAAGAGACTGGTAGAAATGCTTCAAGGGCTGGAGCAAGTTATAGTATGGCAAAGGCAGAGACATTTTCAAATGCAGCTGAAAGGTTTAGGAGTTTACAACTCTCCCAGCACCTGGCGTGACAATTTCCTGTACCAACATGAACTAAGCCAGTGAACTGAGAAGTGAAGTACACAGGGACTACTCACAGGATGCATTAACTCACTATAGCCACGATGCTAGTAAGCTTTGGCTGAAGGGTGCAGTGATGAATGCCTGACAGAAGGAAAAAATTTGAATCACTTTGGATGTCCCTGAAGGGATCCTGTGAGTAGCCTCAGACAATTGGAAGAGCTGGATTGTTTCTGAATAAAGAGGGGACTGGATTAAGAAAGAAGAAAAACTTCCTTAAGGACAAAGCTGAAACAAGACAAATGTAGAACAGAAGTGAAGCACAACTTCTGGAATTAAGTACCATAAAAATGTGGAATACTTGCTCCCTCATGCCTTTAGTCTGAAAGTGACTGCCGTCTAGTGTTCCGGCTAGAAGGAGATGTGTTTTGATGGAAGCCTGGTTACTGGGATCACTGGTGAACTGTACTAACCTTTTACATACCGGAGGTCAGAGCAGACTCACTAATGACCTTGAATCAGGAGGATACATAAATGTGGCAAAAGGTGATGAAATCTATTACTCGTGATTAAGCAAATCACCTCTGCGATGAGGAACCTTTTCTGGAGAAAGAGCAACTTGAGTTTCCTGCTCTGTTTGTAGACAGGAAACATTTTCCAGTAGTATAAAATGCATGATGACAGAACTGTTGATGAAACCACCTCACTGGCGCCGAGCTCCTCTGCCCTAAAACTCTTCTGAGTACGTCACCAGTGTGAACACACAAAAGAAGCCAGGGGAAGCTTTTTTCCAGGGAGAACTACACAGTAGTTTCAATATCCAGTCTCTGGAAATAGCATCATCAGATTCATTTTTTGAAAAATGTGATGAGTCTTGATCATGATTTAATCTTTTGGGGTTGAGATTCAAGAAAAAGCCATAATTTCTGTCCTAAATTAACTTTTAATAGAGTAACAAAAGCCCCGAGGGGCCAAACCACTGCATCTTTCAAATGTTCGCATATTAACATTTTTTCCACATCCATTAAATGAAGATGTTGTTCTAATGTAGTAAATATCTATATTTATTTTAATAATTTACCACCTTCATAAATATTCATAAAATTGCTTTTTAACTGTCATAAAGTTTAGAAATGTGGATGCTTGCATGTTTATGCAGAGGTTATTGGCAGGCAGTTATGCATAAGGATTTACTAAATGGAAAATACTGAAGATTCCCAGAATAAAGGCAATTTGCGAAAAGGCTTCTATCTAATAACTGTGTTAGCTTTAAATAAATTTACTTTGAAAAAAGTAATTTCACTTTTTTAGTCCCTACATTTGTTTATTTCTTTCCCTCTGGTAGTTTTTATGGCCAGCACATTTAACTGTGAAGATTGCATTTTTAA